AAAACAGTTCAGGGACATAACTGCTTAAGACGAGGCTCTGAACCGGTCCTGACATCACCACATGTCCAGCCGCATCAATGACAGCAAAGGCTGCAGTCGCAACCCAAAAGTGCTTAGGCCACAATAGCGAGCCATCCGTCCAGAACTCTTGAAGAGGTAGATCAGGTCGGAATTCTGCGACTTGAGTCTCTTGGGCCTTAGTTTGACGAATGCGATGCTTGGCAAGCGCAATGGGGTGCTCAAAGATTCCCAAAAGAGGGAAATTTGCTCCAAACTCATGCAGGACAGGTCTGGACGTCCATGCATGATACGTCTGGCACTGGAAGACAATGTGTGCAAGTGTTTCCTTGACTTTGCCACAGAAGCGGCATTTAGAATCTTCGGCCCACCCAGAGGCAAATAACCTATCTTTCGTGAGTGTGCATCCAACCAAAACAGACTCAAAATGAGAAATTGCCGAAGGGAAATGGGCGGTCTGAAACGTCGGGTGCTTGAGGAACTCCGTGCTAAGGGAAAAATCAAGAAGCCCACTTGGTTTGCAAATGTCTTTCCGCTTGCCATGTTGGACCGCATGGTACTGAGCTTGAATCGCAAGGTGCTTGAGGAATGAACGCAAGGTTTTGGGGGGTACCAAACCCAGGGGCAAAGGCTTCGACCCATGGAAACTGATGGCAAGAGTTTCATCAACATCCAGACCTAACGTCTCACAGGCTTTTTGGAAAGAAGCGGCCAGTGAGTGTTTTGGGGCACTCCTGTTTGCTACCAGTGCCTGAAGCATTGGGATGGCACTTGGCGTTTCAAAACAAAAGCGGGAAATATCAATCAAACAATTGACAGCCATGGCAATGAACGGGTCGATCCTGTGCGGTTGCCCGAAGAAAGTGAGGACGAGATGCTTCGAACGAATGTTAGGTCGGCCATGCCACAAGGCTTTTGCAACCGCATTTTGAATCTTTTGCAGGGATGCTTTCGGCGTTCTGGAGATGTGAGACCCATACGTGATTTTGGGTATGGCCTTGGCTCCTATCAAGTGTGCTCTGGTTCGGACAGGAACAGGGAGGGCACCTATGGCCTCAATGGCAGAACAAACTTGGTTCAAGGTTTGCGAACTGAATTGGAAGTCATCTCTGTCAGACGTATAGATACGTGTGCCTAGGGCATCCAGTGCATGGACGAGTTTCATCCCTTGAAAGGTATTCACAAGAATCTTACGTGCCGATCTAGAGGTCCCCCAAATCGATGACTTGCCATCATTTAGTTTCTGCCCATTCAATTCATCCCAGAGGCGGGTGACCTGCACAGCCCGGGAGAGAATTGCGATGTTCTGCAAGTGGCACCATAGGTATGCGTCGTCGACAAATGCTCGTACAGAGATAGCAGGTATGAGGGACTGTGAGCATCCCTGGACAACTCCATTTGGGGCTGTGGTGCTAGTGGGGCTTATCCATCCTTTATAGGCTAGATGTCTACGCAGCCCAGAGTAGATGCGGTGAAAAAGGCCAACAAAGAACTGGGGAAGGCCAAAAGCAAGAAACAAAGCAGCAGTGAAATCCGGTATCAAACGGTCAAAGCATTTAGCTTTGTCAAGCTTAATTCCTACAAGGTCCTGCTTATTCGTTCTTGCAGTGTCGATTTCAAGGCGCAAAGCAGTGTGAAGGGAAGGCATGGTCCTTCCTTTAACACCACCGATGATGCAGCTGGGCATCGTGGCCATTTGCCATGCTTGGAGTTGCTCAAAACGTGCCCCAGTATACGAGAGCAATAGTGCAGGCGAAATGGTGATCAACCTCTTGTTCATCGCACTGGATGGTCCTGGTTTGTTCAAAATGATCTGCTTGGCATTTGTGAGGCCAAAAGGCAATTCAACTTCAGGATTTTCTTCGATCCACCTGAAAAACCTGGCAACTGGTTCAAAAAAATGCACAGGCAATGACAGGTCCGCCATCCATCCAGTCCTGGTGCGGCTGCAGGTTTGCGCTTTTGCACAACACGATGCAGTGCTGCGGCATCAATAGGCGGCAGGTGTGCTTGAGTAATCTTATCATCATTGGCAGCATAGATGTCATCCCACTTGTTGTTGAGATGAGCGAGGGCACTATCAGGTTGGTACAAAATGTTGCCTTCATCATCTTCAATCAGATTGGCGGGTTCATCAGTGAGCTTATTTTTGAGGTGCTGAAAAATGTAAGTACACCCTTTAGTGGCGGATGCTTGGATTCGGTGCTTCCAAGTTTTAATACGAGAGGCTTTAAGCTTCAGAAAATGCTGATTAATCTCTTCAAGAATCCAGGATTTAGCCCTTTGGATATGGACAAAGGTCACAAAGTCATGATGCGGCCATGAGAAGGGGGCCCTAATGTCCTTAAGTCCTAACATAAGCTTGGTGGATGTGACTCTGAAGACATGGCGATCTTGATCCGAAGAAAAACCTCTGGTACGTCGAAGAAACAGCTCATCCAACTGTCGGTGGATCTTATGGAGTCGTGAACTGTAACGTGTGGCAGCACAATGGTTTCGATGCTGCGGTGGGCAAACCAATTTGGCAACGAAACGCGGCTGTTTCGCACGTTCTCGAGGACCTTCACCCCAAGTTGCCCCCCCGGGAAAGGAGTTCATGGATGCAAAATTGATTAACAATCTGCCACTTTGCATTGGGCTCAGGTTCCGAGACATAGCGGCTTTCCCATGCATCATTCCAACCTTCATGTAAAGGTTCCTGATAAGGAGTCACGCCAGTTTTGGCAGTGATATTGATGGGCCCTTTCTTTAAACCCTCAACGTCCAGTGGAGCAGTTTTACAAAGCGTGAAACCAACAACATCAAGTGATTCCCAATGGAAAGTGCATTCAACCGGTCGATGTTGCCTCCCGAAGGTCTCAACAACATGGCAGTTTTCGAGTGCAAAGAAAGCATGCTGGTTGAGAAGGAAGCCATCAATCGAGGTGCATCCCTCCCCTTGACCAACAAAGAGACCATCATTCGAAAAGGTGAGGGGACGCATGGGATCACCTTCAGGAGTCACCGTATACAGACGATCATACCAATTGTGAAAGTGGACAGCTTTGGAAATAGCAGAATATGACAACGGAGGGGCTTGGAAGTCTCCAGAAACCAGCACCGGGATTGATCCAAACTGCGAGGCCAAAGTGAAAACATCCTCGAAAAGATGGTCATTTTCCGCATGGATTTTCACATCATTTGAGGCCCCTGTGGTGGCATAGATGGAGAAAACCAAGGCCTTCCGTTTCTGGGCAAACTGGAGCCATGGAATGGCAACCCTCTTAGTAGCCAAAAGTGTGTGGAACAGACCCGTGGCATCATCCGAAGCAAGAAAGGGCTTGATTTGTGATGGTGGTCCCAGGATGGCGGTTCCACCGCACGGTGTGTGCAGCCGACCAACCTTGTGCAACAAACCGGGCAAGACCTGACCAAGGACAACGTCATATCCGGCATCACGGATGGCATGTGTCGCGGACCGATGGTTGTTCTTCCCTATTCGGGTTTCCTGCAAACAGATAATGTCAGAGCCCCAGGCTTTCCACTCATGGTTGGATTGAATCGAGCCAATATTCGCAGTACGAAAGGTCATCATGTGTGGAGGCCCTTCGCCCGGATAGCCGAGGGTGGCATCAAAAGAACATGTGCCAAAATGGCATGACATGCTGGTGAAACACATGAGACAAGACACAAAAGCCCCGGTGGAGCGAAAAAAACGAATACCGGAAAGGCCGCACAGTCTGGCAGTACCCTTGGGGTTGCACACTTTTTCGAACAACTGCACGGCGTGGCGAGAGACCACGTTCAAATCTGGTGAGTCCTGACTGGCATTGATCCGCCCACGTGGATCCATATGACCTCTTCACTGGCTCATACCCCAAACAAAAACAGGTGCTCAAAAGAAACCGACGAACAAAGGCATGATGCAGCCTGAGCAGGCCGAGAGCCGGATGGAAGCTAAGTCGCACAGAAGTCCAAGAAAAGGGCAGTGACTGAGAAGATCCAGTAACTCCGGGGAGTTGGACAGAGATGATCACACCTCGGGAGGATCGTGTGAGAAAGCAAAAGACGGGTGCAGCACTGAACCCTGGGAGAAAACTCCAATGCACGGCAACACACAAGCAGACCCACAGAGCAAGAAAGAGAAAGGGAAGAACCACATCGGGCTCCACAGCAAACGAAATCCAGCTGAGCTTGAGTAACTGTGGGTTACGCGGGCGTGTTGCCCCCTGGCCTCATGACTGCTTTTGCAGCTCGGAGGGTGGTGTTTCACCCGTGACTTCTCTGGTTCGTTGATGGCTTGCCGCGAGGATTTGGCGCAGGCTATCGGATATGTGGTCGAACTTGGATTCAACCCTGGTTTCAAAGCCTGCTTGGCGCTGTTCGAGCTGGTCGAATCTGGTTTCGAGGCGGGACAGTCGTTCCTCTTCCTGCTTGTTCCTGGCTGGTAGAGGTGGCTGCTGGACAGACCAGGATGGTTGATTCTCATCAGCTCTCATGCAGGTGGGTTTTCCTTTCCCTTTCCCTTTCGGCTGCCCCTTAGTGTTGGTCGTAGTGTTCGTCACATGCTGGAGCAGGATCTCGTGGACAGTGCCTTCAACATCCAAAGTGAATCTTGTCACCTTGGGAACAGTTTCTGCAGTCAAAATCCACACATGCACACCTGCCGCACGGAACGTGCGGGTTGGGACAACCGCAACTCCAGTGGCATCCAAGGTGGATTTGATCAGCTGTGGTGCTTCGGTGCCTGCTGGCCAGCCGGATGCTTGTATCGTGACTCGTGGGATGACATGTCTATTGTCATCTGTGATGCGCTGATCTGTGGGCAGAAGGGCAGTTCGGGCAGCTGCAATCTGTTTTGCCCAGACTCGCAGCGCAAGCCCTCTTCGAGTGGCAATGATGCCTGCCGCACCCTCAACACCATGCGTAGCGATGCGCATGTCAGCAAGATCCTGGATGGTGGCAGCCCAGAATTTGGGCAGGACTGAGGTGGCTTGCGGGACTTACTTGTGGTCGATGAAGTCTCTGGTGAGCATAAAGGTGCGTCCGGAGAGCTCCAGGAGCTCTTTCCTCGCAGACTGGGGCACCTTTGCGACGCACTGGATTTGTTGTTCACCCTTCTGCGCACCAGGGTGTTTGTTGGTCCTCAACCCGTAGTAAGTGGCAGTGCTTGCGACCGTGGGTGCATATTGGTGCAGGTGCTGCTTGAAGGTGGCAATTGGCTGTTCCGCAAGTTTTTTCAAAGTCCTGCTTGGGCATAAGTCGCGAATCCGCTTCGATGACGAGTTCAGTGATGGCGGATGTTGTCATCTTGAGCTTGGGAGTGGCAAGCTGGTAAGTGGCTTTGCCAACTGCCACATGAAGCAGTGCGAACCTTTTGTATGCCGTGCCAGTGAGCGGGTCATCAACTGTAATCTCATGTGGTCCAGTGAAATCCTGGAACAGCCCAGCTGGTTTTGATCCATCCGTGGTTGGAATGATGATGGCAAGATCCAGACTACCTGAAGCACGAAGGATCTCTGAGACATGCGTCTTGGTAGCGAGGACAACTCCCGCTCTGGATTGTGATACTTGAAGTCTGTGCACTTGCTTCAGAGGTTGTCCATCACTGCCAACAAATGGAATGGGTGCTTGAAGCAACAGATCTTCCCATTTGGATTGGGTGGGCTTGGGCCCTTTGCGCAGCCATGGGTCGTGCTGCATCAGGATGTCAACTTGGCTAGTCTGGGGGGGCCTTGGGTTGTGGATTTGTCTGCCCAGTGGCCGTTGTGACTTCCATTGGTGCTGGTGTTTGCGTTCCCGCTGCGATGTATGTGTCAGGAAATTTGTTCCTGGTGACTCTGAGAAGGAACCAGTGACGTGCATGTAGGGCGAAATCCCCCCAAAAGCGGAGGTGCATTAGCCCCGTGCCACCGTGCAACTGCCTGTTGGGTGATGTATCCGATTGGTGCTGAGTGTTTTCCTTCCTGCAGCTCCCCATATTGCTGGACGGCCAGTGTTGGTAGCTGGATGCCAAGTCTGTTGTAGATGTTGAAGACGAGCTGGTGCCCGCACATGCCAGCTGGGTGGTATTGCTGCATGGTGTGCGCGACAAAATTGGCCTCATTGTAGCCAAGCTCAGTGCGAAGCTGCTGGATGAGTGGCTGCAGAGCTTCAAAAGAAGCGGCAGGTGCCGTGATGTAGAGTGTGGCTTGATGCTGCATCTTGTAGCACTCTGCTTGAAACCAATGTTGTTCAGTCTCGATGATCCACAGGATATGTCTGTACGGCTCGTACACTGGCGTGGGTGCTGCAAGGAAATGGAGAGTCTCAATGTTTGAGATCCATGTTGCTGGTGGGCAAAAGAGTGTGTCCGGTATCAGAGATCTCGGCCCCTCGAGGATGAAGTCAATCTCGTCAGAGTGCATCCACGAGACATTGAGCTGTATGTGCAGAAGCCTTGTGTTGATCCGCAGTTGGATCTGGTCTTCATCTGGTGTGTCCTGGTGAGGGACTTGTATCGGTGGCCTGTAGCCTGGAGGGTATGCTGTGTGCAGGGTTCGCTGGTTTGCAATTTGGCCACTGTTCAAAGTTCTCCTCGAAAGGGCAAGGAAGAAATTTCTGCGGAGTCGAAAGGCAAACTGGGCAAGGCCATCTTGCGCTCCAGCCTCATTCCAGTCTTCAACTGCTGATTGCAGCACAATGTCGATCATGTCCCGGTAGTTTTCGGACATGGGGTTGTGTGTGTCCGTGGTCGCCAGGGTGTTCTGCACTTGGTGATCACCTGCCCATCTGTAGACGAGTTCCCAGCCACAGAGATGTGGGGTCCAGTTGGAGCTGTGGTGAATGATCGTCATTCGATGTGGCGCAATGTCCAGGAATCTGGCGAGGATCATAATGATCCTGGTGTGCAAATGCTGTGGTACCTGGACGGTGACGACCGTGATGTTGTGCGTCTGTCCTGTGGATTTGATCACCTCGAGGGCACACCAGTGATCCCCCCGCCAAGATGGGGACATAGGTGGTGCCATGATCTTGTATGGCCATGGGTCCAAAGGGTGACTCCTCAAACTCAGATTGGGTGATGTCCCAATAGACTGGTGGTGAGTACTGCGGCCCGGCCGTAGTGGACCATTGCAGGAGCTGAGTGACATACGCCATTTCATCAGCAGCCATCCATCCGTGAGTGTTGGTGGCAAACTCTGCTCGCTGTGTGAAAGTGGCATGTGCAGGGAGTGTTGGAGGGTTGCCATGCCTGAGATGGTGCCCTCCTGCTTTGATGCTGCAAGGTGCCGTGTGTAGCAGCATGCCATGGTTGAGTGGCTGCAAGGGCGGAGTCGTACATTGCCCAGCAATCTGTGTGATGTTGTGTATGGCCCCACCAACCACAAACACAGTGGATGCATCCTGTGAAGGACCCATCTTGCATGCCCAAAGACAGGGACTGTTGGCCGTCATGATAAACAGGGTGTTTTGAGCCAGAGCATCAGCAACAATGGTCCGAGGTGTGACCGAAAGCACAAGGACGTCATCAGAAAGTCCAGGCTGCCCACAGAAATCAGTGCTGACAGACGCCAAACTCTGGATAGCAGCACACAGGAGGTTTCGCCGGTAGGGGTCAGCAGTGCACGCCAAGGAGATACCCAAGTCAGGGATACAGAGAACGAAATTCCACTGGTACGGGGACCACATAAGTGAGAGCTGCTCAAAAGCGGACCAAATGCCCAAATCCAAAAGGGCCTTGATGGTTGTGTCAAAGTCGGCCTGCAGAACAGCAACGAAAACAGTTGGTGGTTTCGGTGGTTCCTGAAGCTCCAAAGTCGGCGAAATCCAAACCTGCTCCTTTTGGCTCTGGAAGTCAAGCTCACCACAAGTGATGCCCTGGATCACAAGAGTCCATTTGTCCTGAATGTTGCGGGCTTCACGAGCTGTGCGCGACAGATGCATGGTCTGAGTGGCACCGACCAACATGAAGGCGTAGAGGATCTCTTTAGGGCCTTGGATGGCGCCCCGCAGGAGTCGACCGATCGAAAGGTCAAGCGAGCCATGCAAAAGCACTTTGTGGTCAAGCCCCTTCACATGCACAATGGCAACAACATCAGTGTCATGGCTATGCTGTGTGGCAATGCTCAAAAGTCTGGCAACATTTGAGACTCTGATGACATGGACATGATTTGCAAATTGGCACACAATAGCGTTGGATGCAGTGAGTCTATCATTCCAACAACTTTGCAAGAGTGCATGAACATCGATCTTGTCAGGCAGGGTGGACAGTAGACCGATCAGGACAGGTAGGAGTGCGTGTGGCACGGCGATTGCGTTCCCGAGTCCTCGAAACGCTTCCTGGATTTTGGCCGACAGGATGCAATCATCCGTGGCTCCCATGAGGGACACGAACCTGGCCGGGTCGAAGAATGCAAAACCAGCTGGGGTCATGCACAAAAAGGCAAAAGCTCCCTTGTTTTGCAGGTGGCGACTGTCAAGTTCATGTTGTGCAGAATATGAAGCACACAGCGTGGGCAGTGGCTCACTCTCCTTTGGCATGCGGGCACATAACACCTGATAGGCCGTGGCTGAGCTCGAACTCAGTGCACCTTTCTTGGCAGGTGGCAGGAAGCGCACATCACCGTAAAATGACTTTTCCGACTCGGAGAGGAGAAGCTGTTCAGCCCAGATGGGCGGGATCTGAAAGTCAAAATCAGGATCGAACCACCTGTGGCGCGGCAGGACATGTGGGTTGACTTTGGCATCGTAGTACTTAGCACTAATGTCAACACGGATCCACGTGGCTAACCACCTCGTCCTCATCATAGGCGAGATGTGGTGAAGCGGCGTGACTTGTGACCACACCAAACGATAACCAAGCAACTTCGCCACATGCTGGAGCGTCTCAAAATGGTGGTGGTGGATGATTTCATCCGCACACTCAGCGGTGACTATACATGCCTGCAGCTTAAATGCGTGCGTCAGCCCACTGATGAAGGCCCAGCCATTCTCGCAAGACAGTCCTTGTCTCTTTCCAGCTTTCGACCATGGCTGGCAGGGCGGACTCATAGTCTCCAGCAAATTCACTTGTCCTTGGCACACCGTCAAAATGCTATTTTCCGCAATCGATGACAGGATGCCCACAAAGTCAGCGGAGATCCATGGTTGTGAATATGGTAGCGGAGCCGAGAGGGCCTTCACAGCATGCTGGCATTCCCACAGGTGCATGACATCCTCGTTCGAGTCAACTGCAACGTGGCGGCTAAACAAAGCAGTCCCCCCATGTTGCGAAAGCCACTTCGTGGCCTGTTCCCAGCCCCCCAAAGGAGCCTGCGAAGGCATGCACAGCTGTCCAAGAGAGCTCTGGCAGAAAATCCGGGCGGTGAATGATCACAGCCGACTCATGGAAAGTGATCTCATCATCATTAGCTTTGTTCTGACATGGCCCTGCTACAATGACTCGAGCACCCGGGCAAATGGCTGTAGACCGGTCACGGATGTGAGGGAGGCTCACCAAACACTCCTGACAGTCATTGGTGTCAAAACTGAAACCCACATTTGGCACAAAAAGCGCCAAGTGTAGGCGGAGTCGATCAGATTCAACCTCAAGGATTTCACCTGCAATGATCGAGCAGTTCTCCAGCATCAAGCAATGCGTAGGGGACGCAAGCGCTTTGAGAAATGTCGTCAATCGGCAGGCGAAAGGCTCATCCAAACCATGGGGAGCAGAGAAAACATCCATGGCTCACAGGAGACCCTAGGAATCTACCGAAACTAAAGGTCCACAGAAATGGCGTGGGGTCTCTGGAACCACCACTTGTGGACACCACGCTCACGGCGGAGAGCCGCGACACGTGGCCACGGGAGGCCTGTCCTCCACCAGCTCCTTAGCTTTGGGCCAGGGGAGCTGTACTATTCCATACTATTCCATGGATTGTAGCAAGGGTGACATGTCCTTGATTTCGGGGTGCATCGTCGAACTGGACTTCGATATGACGACCATGCATGGATTTGACGACGAGTGCGGGCCTGAAGGGCCAGGGCCAGGGCTGTTTCTTCGTTTCGAGTGTCATCCGATTCTGGCTGTCTATACCCAGACCATACGAATGGGACTGGAATAGTGACACACATTTATACCCAATGAACATGATTCAATGTAGACTCTTGAGGACCATACACCACCCCATTTGAATTGAACATCCTGGTTATTAATCAAGAGTCTACATGAAGTATATTCCAGACATGCTCTGCGATACGTCAGTTGACATGAGTTTCGTGGCAGCCTTCAAGGCCATTCCTCGGCCGGTCTCGGAACCTGAGTCGCAGGTCTCCGAATTAAACAGCATTTTGTGGTACTTGGGACAGGCCCCGTCGAACGCATTTTTTTCGAGCAGTTGGCGCAAGGTAGAGCTCTATTATGGAGTGAACACTTCAAAGACATCTCAGTGATTGAGTCAGAGACCAACTCACCCAAGCAGCTCCAGCTCCAGCTCCAGTGTGTCAAGATGATCCAACATCACCCTTCTTCCAATGACAGGCAGACAACATGTTTGAGGGAGTCAAATTGGATGTGGACATGAGGAAGACTAGAAACCCTACAAGAATTGCGAGGGCAATTGATTTCACGGGATTAGCTTTGGATCATGGCTCACACACACAAACTCCAAATATGCTATCTACTTGGCAACTTCGTTTTTGAGACACTTGCAGCAACTACCTCATGACATCGTATCTACCGGACCTCTGTCTAACGTCAGTCTACCAGACACCAAACACGCACGTGGCACGCGGCCACGCGCACGCGGCACGAGGCCAGTGTAGCGAGCTCCAGATCTATGGGTTCCAGGCTGGTCCTAGAGCATCGGACGAAAAAGAGGGATGTCCAGACTTCTTCTTCTTCTTCTTCTCCTTCTTCTCCTTCTTCTAGCATGTGAAAGACCATTGTGACTAGGAAGATTCGGGACATCTGACTCGTGACTCGGAAGCCGCGGACATGGAGTCGGCCCGGAACTCGTAGCTCGGAAAATGGGCACCAGATCATGTCCAGTTAGGTAGCTAAGGGGTATGCAGCTAAGGGGTAGGCAGCCATGGTATCATCCCAATTATATCCAAGTATTTGCTAAGGTACTTGAAGTCGGGGTTAGGTAGCTGTTGGGGGTTGGGGTTGGAAAAAAGCGCTGATCGAAGCCTGGTTTTCATGTCGACTTCGTCCAGACAAGGCGCTGGCCGCTATGGCGCAGCTATGGCCTACCCAGGAAAAGTGGATCCTTTGAAACGCTGTTTGTGGGATTGGTTTCATTTCCCCATTCAAAACCAACCTGGGTCATCCTGTCTGGGTTTCCAGTCTAGACTACACTGGACCTCCAGCGACACCGTCAGATGGAGGAGGTGGAAAGTTCGGTTCACCTTTATTTGGAATGGACACTAAGCGGGTCCAGGCTGGGAGTTCCTGCATTTTCGCGGCAGCTCTCCCACCGAAGAGAACTGGCATCCCCTCACTCTACAGCAGAGCAGCCGTGAAGCCGTTGTTCTTGGCCAGGTGTTGTAGATAAGAACCAGGAAGCTGTTAAGAGACATGTCACACCTGAAGCCCCCCCCAGACATCCAGCAATACGTACATGCCCAGGTGCCCAGACCATCCCATGGTACATGCAGTATGGAATAGTTCCATATACCCTAGGATTCCAACAGCCAGTGATTTAATGAACTGTGTTAGTAGAGATTTTACACTACAAAACAAGGTGCACCATGAAACAATTCATTTGATCATAAAAGGCTAGGCCAGGGTCAAAGAATGTACTTCATTTCTGATCCCAATGCAGGTAACTCTTTCATAGATGGATGAACTGGGGTGAGAAAGACTCCGAACTTCCTTCCCTTTGAACGCGCCCCAAGTCACACGCCCCTCCTGGAACCCGCCCCTCCTGGAACCCGACTCGGTCAGATCGTGCACCTCGACCGTCTCGGTGAACAGCGAGTTCATTCAGGAGTGGAACGGAGCGGAACCGGGTGGGTGGGGAAGGCCCAACGGCGAAGGCCGAACCGCTCACCGCTAACCGGTCGAAGCACAGCTTCTTTTCGTCTTTGAGAGGGTGATGTGTTGGATGTTCGGCGGCCTTCGGTCGGCGGCGGTGGGTGCAGGTCGTGAAAACGTCATGTTCCTGGACTCTTCGGGTTTGGGGGAAACAAGCAGGGGGTCTCCCTTCAGCTGCCGAGAGTTGACCATGGTTGACCATGGCTGACAGGAACATGAGGAGCAACCACCTGGACCCGACGGACCGTTCGTACCATGACCCGAAGCCTGGGACGGTCTGACCCGAACCCAAAAAACAGCTACGACGCCTGGGGCCCCATGTCGTTCCGAGACACGAACCGGGTCGCTTTCTTGGCATCTCCAGCAGAGGTTGAAGAACCCGAACTAGGCCATCCTAGTTCGGTACCCCAAGTGACGGGTCCTAGTTCAGGCCACTTAACCTCTGTTGGATGATATGAGGGCATTCTTTTCAAGCTGAGGAGCGACCACTTTCGACAATCGTGGGTCGGAGATCTTCGTCGCCTCACCCACCTGGGTCGACGCGTGGGTCGGGTGTCCCAAAGGGAGCTATACAGCCAGGATCACCCAGACGAGATGATGGAATGTTCATGGAAGGTTCCATTAGATTTCGGTGCTTGCAGAGTTTTCTCAGACTTCTCTCCCAAACCTGGTGGCGGATTTGACTTGTATCCCGAATCCAGCTGCTGGCTGAGCAATGGACAACGACGGGCGCCCTCCCCCACCACCACAGGAGCGGCTGCCGGGCAGGTGGGGCGGGCTGCAGTGCCGCCGTGCATCGCCGTGCTGTGCGGACGTAGACAGAAAGAAACACGAAGAGGTGCGTCATCTCGAATTTCATCGGCTGTTCTCGGCGGCATTCTTGGCTACCAGGATTTGAACACTGGTCAACGGCATTCGGTGAAACGAACTTCAATGGTCAAACGGCGTGGTCGGTGAAACGGCGTGGTCGGTGGAGCCGGTGGGTTCATGCTGGGCTGCCGTGGGCTCGTGCCTTCACTGGGTCGCCTCGGTCGAAACCGTCCGTGTTGGAGTCTGGGAACTCCACCAGCCTCTAGGAACTTGGAGATGTGAGTGTTGGAGTCGCTCCGGGCGCAGGCTCCGGCAACCTCCGGGCCCGGCCCAGACCTCCGAAAAGCTGAGGATCTGGGCACGCACGCAGCGAATTTCGCATCCACCCACCCCAAGCTCCGAAGCTGAGGATGTGGGCCAGGAGCCCTATAGGGTATGTTCCTTTCAACCACAAACTCACAGGTAGTCTCTCTTTTCGAACGACAAACCATCCTGTCGGAAAGAGAAGTTGCAATACTGAACTCAAAGACCTTCCAGCCTGCCTCAACTCTAATGCTGTGAAGAAGGTAGTTTCATGCCAGTGGAAGATGTTCCCTGATATCCTTGATCTCTAGCATCCAGCTACCTCCAATGTCTGGAATAATGTCTAACATGGTCGCAGTGGTTTGCGTTTGATGGATGGACGTTTACTCATCCCTTGCCAGGCAGAGAGAGACTGCCAAGATCCAGAGTGAGCTGAAGGCTTTGGGCTTTAAGAGCTGTGCTGTGTCACTGCGTGGCCAAATGAGCAACCACATGCAACCACATGCAACGTGCAATGACTACAGTCATTTCTAAATATGGTTGTGAATTTCAGGATTTGGGTTAAACCTGCAAAAGTGATAGGCCCCCTTCAAAAGCGATAACCACATTTCCGCAGTTTTTGGACAGATTCAGCTATCTTGACATTGTGGCCAACAAATTGTAGCTAAAACCTGCAAAGGCGATAGGCCCCAGGCCCCCCTCGAAAGCGTTAACCATATTTCCACAGTGTTTGGACAGATCCAGCTATCTTGACATTGTGGCTGAAACCTGCAAAAGCGATAGGCCCTTCTCAAAAGCGATAACCTTGCTGAATCATGTCCTCTGCTTGCCAGTGCATTTTGCTAGACACGTCCAGGTGAAGAGACCCGTTGTGTATAGCATCGAAGGGCAGAACAGCTTGAGAAGTCTAAATCCGTCTTCAAGCAAATTAATGAAGTACTTGTAGTGCCTGCATGGAGCAACCTTTGTATGCAAACAAATGCCATAGGTCAAAGAACATGCCTTTTGGAATCAATTTTCAGAGCCGTCTTCCACAAGGCTCCAAAACCCCTCTCTTGTGGGTTCCGCGCGGCTGCGCGTTGAAAGGCCTTCGTGCGGGAGATGGTGCGAGGGCGGAAACTCAGCACCCTGGCGCCTGCGCCGTTCGTGGCGGGTTCGGTGCGCCGTGGCGGGTTCGGGTGGAGGTTCATGTTTG